TCACTCATTATCAAGAAGACTACCTACCCTTCCAGCTGCAATATTGGAGAACCATTGATGGTAGGGACTAGGGAACCATCAGTGTATACTGTTTCTGATATTAATTTTGTCTCGAATTGATTCCAAAGAATTTGTCAAGGAGGAGACGGGAGGAGGAGAACCCATGAAATCTTGTGTAAGGTTAGGGATGTGACCTTAGAGACGGGTAGCGAAGAGTAGTGGTTTGACCACTTTGGATGAGTTAGTGATTTTGGTAATGTGTTAGGAGTTGATTAGTGGCTGGCTGACATTGAAGGCTAGAGAGAGATATTTTAATCTGTTGTATTCACTCCATCCTCTCAACTAATGGCTCTAACTTTGAACGTTATGATCAACAACGTACACAATATAGAGTACTATGAGAAGTAACGACTCATGAATATCCAAGTTTTCTATTCATCGGTAGATTAGATTAGGTTAGGTTAGGTGGGTTACTTGGGTTAGTACTTTGTGTTTTTGTACGTTGTGGCAGATCAAGAGTACTGGTTGGTTTATTTGGCTCTTATTGTGGTTTACTTGCATGCTGCGCTATACCTCTTCGAGTTCGTCATGTGGGTTTACAACTGAGTTTACGTCTTCACTGTTCACGGGATTGTTGATATAATGCGTTGTTCCTCTGTAACAGTTGCTCGGTGTGTGTGTGTGTGTACTCACCTAGTTGTGCTTGCGGGGATTGAGCTCTGGCTCTTTGGTCCCGACTCTACTGGTGAACAGATTCCTGAAACTACTGGGCTCTATCATATCTACATTTGAAACTGTGTATGGAGTCTGCCTCCACCACATCACTGCCTAATGCGTTCCACCTGTTAACTACTCAGACACTGAAAAAATCTTTATGTCTCTGTGGCTCATTTGGGTGCTCAGTTTCGATCTGTGTCCCCTTATTTGTGTTTCACCCGTGCTAAATAGTTTGTCTTCCCCCGTCAATTTCCCTGAGAATTTTGCAGGTGGTTATCATGTCTTCCCCTCACTCTTCTGTCTTCCAGGGACGTGAGGTTCAGCTCCTTCAGTCTTTCCTTCTAGCTCATACCTCTCAGTTCCGGGACAAGTCTGGTGGCATACCGTTGAATCTTTTCTAACTTTGTCTTGTGTTTAACTAGATATGGACTCCAGGCAGGTGTGTGCATGAGTGTGTGTGTGTGTGTACTCACCTATTTGTGTCTGCAGGATCGAGCATTGACTCTTGGATCCCGCCTTTCGAGCATCGGTTGTTTACAGCAATGACTCAGGTCCTATTTCCCTATCATACCTAGTTTTAAAATTATGAATAGCATTTGCTTCCACAACCTGTTCCTTAAGTGCATTTAATTTTTACACTACTCTCACGCTAAAAGAAAACTTCCTAACATCTCTGTGACTCATCTGAGTTTCCAGGTTCCACCCATGTCCCCTCGTTCTGTAACTATTCCGTGTGAACATTATTTCGTCTATGGCCACTCTGTCAATCCTCCTGAGTATTTTATACGCTCCTCTCATGTTCCCACTCTCTCTTTTTTGTCTAGTATCGTAAGGCACAGTTTCTTCAGGCGTCTTCATATCCCATCCCTCGTAACTCTGGGACGAGTCTCGTTGCAAACCTCTGAACCTTTTCCAGTTTCCTTATATGTTTCTTCAGATGGGGACTCCATGATGAGGCGGCAAACTCTAAGACTGGCCTCACGTAGGCAGTGTAAAGAGCCCTAAATGCCTCATGACTTAGGTTGCTGAATGATGTTCTAACTTTTGCCAGTGTAGAGTACGCTGCTGTCGATGTCCTATTTACATGTGCCTCAGGAGTTAGATTAGGTGTTACGTCCACGCCCAGGTCTCTTTCTCGAGTCGTCACATGTAGGCTGTTCCCCTACATTGTGTACTGTCCCTTCGGTCTCCTGTCACCTAGTCCCATTTCCATAACTTTACATTTGCTCGTGTTGAACTCCAGTAGCCATTTCTCTGACCATCTCTGCAAAATGTTTAAGTCCTCTTGGAGGATCCTACAATCCTCATCTATCACAACTCTTCTCGTGAACTTTGCATCAACCGCGATCATTGACATGTAGGATTCTACTCCTGTAAACATGTCATTCAGGTATATTAGAAATAGAATTATTCCCAGCACCGATCCTTTAGGTACTCCACTCGTTACTGGTCGCCAGCCCGACTTCTCGCCCCTTACCGTAACTCTCTGGCTCCTTCCTGTTAGGTAGTTCCTTACCCATGCTAGGGCCTTTTCACTTACTCCCGCCTGCCTCTCAAGTTTGAATACCAATCTCATGTGCGGTACTGTATCAAAGGCCTTTTTGCAGTCCAGAAATATGCAGTCTGCCCAACCTTCTCTGTCCTGCCTTATCCACGTTATTTTATCATAGAATACCAAAAGGTTTGTTAGGCACGATTTCCCTTTCCAGAACCCATGTTGATGTTTGTTCACAAACTAAACGTTCTCCAGGTGTGCAACCAGTCGTAGCCTAATTATTCTTTCCAGTATTTTACAGGGGATGCTTGTCAGTGATACAGGTCTATATTTAAGTGCCTCCTCCCTATCACTTTTCTTGAAGATCGGTACGACATTTGCCTTCTTCCAGCAACTGGGCAATTCTCCCGACATAAGTGCCTCATTAAAGATCATTACCAGAGGCACGCTGAGGGCCTGCACCGCCTCTTTTAGTATTTACGGTGATACGTTGTCTGGTCCAAACTCTTTATTTGCATCCAGTGTGGTCAACTATTTCATTACCTCCTCTGCTGTCAACTCTATATCTTATAGTCTTTCATCTAGGGGTAATCTCTTCTAACAATGGGAGCTGCTCAGGCTCGGTTGTGAACACTCCATGGAAACTGGCATTCAGTGCCTCGCGGATTTCCTTGTCACTTTCAGTATATGCCCCCTCTGTTTTCCATAGTCTTGTCACTTGGTCGTTCACCGACATTTTTCTTCTTATATTGCTGTGTAGTAATTTAGGTTGCTTTTTCGCTTTGATCGCAATATCGTTCTCATAGCTCCTTTCCGATGTTCGTCCTATGTTAATGTAATCGTTCCTAGCTCTGTTGCATATGTGTGTGTGTAATTACCTAAGTGAAGTTACATGATGAGAGCTACGCTCGTTGTGTCCCGTCTTCCCAACTCAACTCTCAACTCTCTCCATGCCATACATAGAGGCCCTCTATGTAAGCTCTCCATAGCATATATAGACTTGTCGTGAGATGAAGTGGACATTCTACACATACATCTGTGTGTGTGTGTGTGTGTGTGTGTGTGTGTGTGTGTGTGTGTGTGTGTGTGTGTGTGTGTGTGTGTGTGTGTGTGTGTGTGTGTGTGTGTGTGTGTGTGTGTGTGTGAGTGTGTGTGTGAGTGCGTGTGTGTCCATGACCTCGAGTGGAATTTGAATCCCTCATCCATCGTGGGACATGCCAAGGGGATACTTAAGAAAAATTTCCATGAGTTACTAAGCTGCACAACTCCGTACTTCCCCACCACTCGACCTCAATACACACACACACACACTCAGAGTACACACACACACACACACACTCTCAGACTACACACACATACACGGTTGAGAGGCGGGACCAAAGAGCCAGAGCTCAACCCCCGCAAGCACAATTAGGTGAGTACAATTAGGTGAGTACACTCAGAGTACACACACACACACACACAGAGGCATCTGTGGATGAGGATGGGTTGCAGCGTCTCATCACGCTAGATTCATCCAAACAAGGCTAAATCCAAAGACTCTTTCATAAGTTTTAAAATACTGCGTATATAAGTTAATGAATTTGTGTACTAGAATGAGTTGAATAATTAGTCCTAACTTAAGTTACGTAGTTAGGTTCTCCTAGCAAGACTGACATTTTCAGTTCGTGGACGAAACATTTCGAGGTGCGATTCGAGCACAGGACGTGAACGAAACACTGTTCAAGAAAAAGACAAATCCGTCATCAGATGTGAGTAGTGTGTAAAGTGTTTTTCATCCATACACAGAGGCTAGATTAACAAGCATATGGCCTTTTTTGATAAAGACGGACTGTCCTACTTATAAAATTATATTAATACCAAGGTGTGACAACTGAACTAGTTTCAGAGAGAGACAGTCTAATATATGAGTGAATCAGTTACAGTGAAGCTGCTCATTGTACTCTCATAGTGAGGTATTGTTGTTAGTACACAGATGAGTTCAAATGTTAGGCTGTGGCAGAGTGAGTCAAGGCAAGTTAAAATGAGCCTTGCACCTTAAGCTGGAACTTAAAGCTGGAGAGATATGGTATCTTTATGTTAGTTAATTCCTTGTACTTATTCCATTCTAACAGCACACACACATAAACTAATCATAAATCCACAATGTTACGGTGTTATAAACTTCTTTAACATGTGCTATAAACAATGTTATAAACTTGTTTCTCTTGTCTTGTGAGTTTACAAGTTTATAAATAAATTGGTAAGGTGACAGGTGATGTACACACTTTGTCAAGCTTTTCCAGTTAGTTGTAGTTAGTATATGGGTGAGCTTGACTAGAAGGAATCAAGTCTGTTTTTCAGGAGAATGTTTCCTTAGCAAGGCTACCATTATAGGCCTTATCCAACAGTGGATGCGTAATTACTTGACGTATTTAACTTCGTAGGTAAAGATTGACAATAATTTAATTAGTTCAAATAGGCACCCAGACACAACTCAATAAGCATATCAGTCTAATTGAACCTTTTGAATATTGTGTGTTAGTTGCAGAACAACCAAACCGGTTTGATAGCCCCTAAACCTGAAGTAAAATAAAGTACTTAAACCTTACGCTCAACCAGGATGTAAACCAATTAAACCATACGCTCAACCAAGATGTAAAGCACTTAAGCCTTTAGCTCAACCAAGATGTATAGCACCTTACGCATAGCCAAAATGAAAAGGACTCAAACGTTCCGGAATATACGCAAAAGGGAGAACAAAAACTTGTCCTGGTCACGGAAAACCTGGAGTTCTCCCAGGGTGGGCGGGACGTTTTGCTGAGAGGTATATAAGGCCGCGCTGCCTCCACCTCAACACAGTCGACCAAGACACAGCAGAGCCATGAAGACCATGGTGAGTTACCCCCTGCTGCACTCTTATACACAGAAACATTGTCATAACTATTAACATTTTTAAGTTATTGGGTATATATATTTATATTGTGAACCCTCGTGTAAGCAGAAAAAAATTAAGTTATTCAATCATATTATTTAATACTTTGAAATTCGGTACACATTAAATTTATACTAATGTTCTTCCAAATAATATATTTGTATTTTTGATACATTTGAGGAAAGTTCTATAGTAATTGTCACAGAATATACATTTTTCCCACATATCTGCCAACAATTTATTTGTAATTCATACATTTATACATTTAATGTTTTCTAATTGTACAGGCGATGAGTTACAAAAATATGGCTGATGATATAATGACCAAACCACACATCAGAAAATGAAAAAACGACGACGTTTCGGTCCGTCCTGGAGCCTTACAGACCGAAACGTAGTCATTTCTTTGTTACCTGACATATGGTTCGGTCATAATATTAAAATTGTGGTCCCATTTTCCTGTCTGTAACTTGGGTGTTGATTTGTTAATTTTTCCACGAGAACTTCTATATGCCTGGATGTAAATTTATATTATAACAGTTACATTTTATCATATTTCAACTAGTTGGCCTTCCGTACACTCAAGACCAATAGTATCTTTAGCACTGGGACACGCTTGTATATACAAATTTGAATACATCTCTCCATCTTTGGTCAAATGTTCAAAGTAAATATGGATGTCACATCTAGACTTTAGCTTGTATTTCTAAAATACTCACACATATAGACAAAAGATATAATTTAATATTTGAATTCCTCCACCAGATCGTTGTAGCATTCCTGGCTGCCATGTGCCTGGCGGCCACAAGCGCTGAGCCTTCCCCAGATGCCGAACCCGGCTTCAGGGGAGGTTTCGGTGGAGGATTCGGTAGAGGCTTCGGTGGAGGATTCGGAAGAGGCTTCGGAGGATATGGAGGATACCGTGGAAAGAGGAGTGCTGAAGCTGACCCTGAGCCCGCTGCTGATCCTGAAGCTGATCCCGGTTACTTTGGTAGAGGATTTGGTGGAGGCTTCGGTGGGGGCTTCGGTCGCTTCGGTGGTGGCTTCGGAGGTTTCGGTGGTGGATATGGACGAGGAGGCTTTTATGGTTGATCACTTTGTGTCAAGTCCGCCACATTCCTGATAACTTCTTTTCTCACTCTCTCAATGTGAAAATGTAAAATATACAAGTAAACACAAAATAATTGCTTTCTTTTATCCAAGTATATTGTGCAAGCAGAAGTATATGTAACAGAGTAGATTTTATGTATAGAATATATATATATATATACGAATGAAAACTCACACCCCAGAAGTGACTCGAACCCATACTCCCAGGAGCAACGCAACTGGTAAGTACAGGGCGCCTTAATCCACTTGACCATCACGGCCGTCAAAAGGAAGTGATAGCCAAGGCTATTTGAGCCACTTCCCCGACGGCAACTCGGATGGTAATCTTGGGCATAGCATTTAACCAAATCACCTCATTCTTTGGGGCACACGTGAGGACCACAAATGCGAACAAGCCTGAATGGTCCCCAGGACTATATGCGAATGAAAACTCACACCCCAGAAGTGACTCGAACCCATACTCCCAGGAGCAACGCAACTGGTAACTACAGGGCGCCTTAATCCACTTGACCATCACGGCCGTCAAAAGGAAATGATAGCCAAGGCTATTTGAGCCACTTCCCCGACGGCAACTCGGATGGTAATCTTGGGCATAGCATTTCACCAAATCACCTTATTCTTTGGGGCACACGTGAGGAACACAAATGCGAACAAGCCTGAATGGTTCCCAGGACTATATGCGAATGAAAACTCACACCCCAGAAGTGACTCGAACCCATACTCCCAGGAGCAACGCATCTGGTAATTACAGGGCGCCTTAATCCACTTGACCATCACGGCCGTCAAAAGGAAGTGATAGCCAAGGCTATTTGAGCCACTTCCCCGACGGCAACTCGGATGGTAATCTTGGGCATAGCATTTCACCAAATCACCTCATTCTTTGGGGCACACGTGAGGAACACAAATGCGAACAAGCCTGAATGGTCCCCAGGACTATATGCAAATGAAAACTCACACCCCTGAAGTGACTCGAACCCATACTCCCAGGAGCAACGCAACTGGTAACTACAGGGCGCCTTAATCCACTTGACCATCACGGCCGTCAAAAGGAAGTGATAGCCAAGGCTATTTGAGCCACTTCCCCGACAGCAACTCGGATGGGAAGTGGCTCAAATAGCCTTGGCTATCACTTCCTTTTGACGGCCGTGATGGTCAAGTGGATTAAGGCACCCTGTAGTTACCAGTTGCGTTGCTCCTGGGAGTATGGGTTCGAGTCACTTCTGGGGTGTGAGTTTTCATTCGCATATAGTCCTGGGGACCATTCAGGCTTGTTTGCATTTGTGTTCCTCACGTGTGCCCCAAAGAATGAGGTGATTTGGTGAAATGCTATGCCCAAGATTACCATCCGAGTTGCCGTCGGGGAAGTGGCTCAAATAGCTTTGGCTATCACTTCCTTTTGACGGCCGTGATGGTCAAGTGGATTAAGGCGCCCTGTAGTTACCAGTTGCGTTGCTCCTGGGAGTATGGGTTCGAGTCACTTCTGGGGTGTGAATTATCATTCGCATATAGTCCTGGGGACCATTCAGGCTTGTTTGCATTTGTGTTCCTCACGTGTGCCCCAAAGAATGAGGTGATTTGGTGAAATGCTATGCCCAAGATTACCATCCGAGTTGCCGTCGGGGAAGTGGTTCAAATAGCCTTGGCTATCACTTCCTTTTGACGGCCGTGATGGTCAAGTGGATTAAGGCGCCCTGTAGTTACCAGTTGCGTTGCTCCTGGGAGTATGGGTTCGAGTCACTTCTGGGGTGTGAGTTTTCATTCGCATATAGTCCTGGGGACCATTCAGGCTTGTTCGCATATATATATATATATATATATATATATATATATATATATATATATATATATGTCGTACCTAATAGCCAGAACGCACTTCTCAGCCTACTATTCAAGGCCCGATTTGCCTAATAAGCCAAGTTTTCATGAATTAATGTTTTTTCGTCTACCTAACCTACCTAACCTAACCTAACCTAACTTTTCGGCTACCTAACCTAACCTAACCTATAAAGATAGGTTAGGTTAGGTTAGGTAGGGTTCGTTAGGTTCGGTCATATATCTACGTTAATTTTAACTCCAATAAAAAAAAATTGACCTCATACATAATGAAATGGGTAGCTTTAACTTTTCATAAGAAAAAAATTAGAGAAAATATATTAATTCAGGAAAACTTGGCTTATTAGGCAAATTTGGCCTTGTATAGTAGGCTGAGAAGTGCGTTCTGGCTACTAGGTACGACATATATATATATATATATATATATATATATATATATATATATATATATATATATATATATATATATATATATATATATATATATATATATATATATATATATATATATATATATATATATATATATATATATATATATATATATATATATATATATATATATATATATATATATATATATATATATATATATATATATATATATATATATATATATATATATATATATATATATATATATATATATATATATATATATATATATATATATATATATATATATATATATATATATATATATATATATATATATATATATATATATATATATATATATATATATATATATATATATATATATATATATATATATATACATATATATATATGAGTGTGTATATATACACACATATATATATATACACACACACACGCAACTATGGAGGTCTGGTTGCTGAGTGGACAGTGCGAAGGTCTCGTAATTCTCTGGCCCGGGTTCGATTACCGGACCAGGCAGAAAAAAATGAGCAAAGTTTCTTTCACCCTGATGCCCCTGTTACCTAAGAGTAAATAGGTACCTGGGAATTAGACAGCTGTTACGGAGCTGCATCCTGTGTGTGTGGCGATGCATTCCAACAAATGGAATGCATTAGGAAGTGATGTGGTGGAGGCTGACTCCATACACGGTTTCAAATGTAGATATGACAGAGCCCAGTAGGCTCAGGAATCTGTACACCAGTTGAGAGGCGAGACCAAAGAGCCAGAGCTCAACCCCCGCAAGCACAAATAGGTGAGTACAAAGAGGAGAGCACAAATAGGTGAGTACACACACACTCAATCACCACTTTCTCCCACCTCCAGCCCCCTCCCAGCTCCTGAACCCAATAAATCCCACTTTGTCACACCATCCACTCCAACAAAGAGCCTCACAGACATCCACCACCTGCTCTGTTCCACATTCCAAATCCATTCAGAAGCTAACTTAAACGCCATACCTAGACTGGAAACAAACCATTCAAAGGACAGAAGAACTATGACGCCCCTGAAAAATCTGATACAACAGTGCTAATTGACTCAAATAAATATGAACCCAAGGGAACTACTGAGAAAACAGACAATGATGCAATAGCATTAGTAGAAACCAAACTAAATGGTTTGATTAATAATTCAGTGTTCCCGAGGGAATACCAGATTAAGAGAAGTGAAAGACTTCAGAGAGGCGGAGGTGGTGTGGCACAGTTGGTGAAGAGAACCTGGATCTTTGAAGGGATATCTTTGGAGGTGGCAAGGAACTGTAGAGATTGCATTGTTGGAATCATTTCATTGGATGGTGAGAGAGTGAAAAAAACACAGAAGATCGAGGCAAGACGAAAATTTCGAACAGAGCATGCTTGAATATTCCCCAAAGCGTGACAGCCCATAGCTTGCAGCAAAACTCCTAGTAATGGAACACTTCAATAATGTCCAAATCGACTGAGAATCCTTGGACCCAAAAGAAGGAGATGAGACAAGAAGAGCAAAGCTTGTAGAAGTAGTATATATATATTAACTTATATATGAAAACAAATCTATTTTTTATACACAATATTTTAAATGTAGTGAATAGAGGGGTGGGGGGATGGACGGCCTCCAATTTAGCGAGTCTGGTCTAAGGATAGGTAATTCTCAGTCGCGAGTAAATCGTTTTTTACTGAAAAACTGGTTTGGCGGCTGCATAGAATCACTTTTGGCATCTGTGGATGAGGATGGGTTGCAGCGTCTCATCACGCTAGATTCATAAAAACAAGGCTAAATCCAAAGACTCTTCCATAAGTTTTAAAATACTGCGTATATAAGTTAATGAATTTGTGTACTAGAATGAGTTGAATAATTAGTCCTAACTTAGGTTACGTAGTTAGGTTCTGCTGGCAAGACTGACATTTTCAGTTCGTGGACGAAACATTTCGAGGTGTGATTCGAGCAGAGGACGCGAACGAAACACTGTTCAAGAAAAAGACAAATCCGTCATCAGGTGTGAGTAGTGTGTAAAGTGTTTTTCATCCATACACAGAGGCTAGATTAACAAACATATGGCCTCTTTTGATGAAGACGGACTGCCCTACTGATAAAATTATATTAATATCAAGGTGTGACAACTGAACTAGTTTCAGAGAGAGTCAGTCTAATATATGAGTGAATCAGTTACAGTGAGGCTGCTCATTGTACTTTCATAGTGAGGTATTGTTGTCAGTACACAGATGAGTTCAAATGTTAGGCTGTGGCAGAGTGAGTCATGGCAAGTTAAAATGAGCCTTGCAGCTTATGCTGGAAAATTCATGATGGAGAGATATGGTGTCTCAGTGTTAGTTAATTCCTTGTACTCATTCCATTCTAACAACACACAAACATGTATACTAATCTTAAATCCACAATGTTGCTGTGTTATAAACTTCTTTTTATGTGTTATAAACAATGTTATAAACTTGTTTCTCTTGTCTTGTGAGTTTACAAGTTTATAAATAAATTGGTAAGGTGACAGGTGATGTACACACTTTGTCAAGCTTTTCCAGTTAGCTGTAGTTAGTATATGGGTGAGCTTGACTAGAAGGAATCAAGTCTGTTTTTCAGGAGCATGTTTCCTTAGCAAGGCTACCATTATAGGCCTCATCCAACAGTGGATGCGTAATTACTAGACGTATTTAACTTCGTAGGTAAAGATTGACAATA